AGCTAGACCATAGCATGCACAGTGGTACAGATAATAGCTCACAACATAGGGAATCCAGGACACATAAACCCCTCAGGACCAATCATGAGAGTAGTGATACCAGGAGGGTAAGGGTAAGGTGAGGGGAGGAAGGGAGAACCAATCATAATGATCTACATAGAACATCTTCCCAGGGGGATGGACAACAGAAAAGTGGGTGAAGGGATACATCGTTCAGTATAAGACATGAAAAAAAATTATCAAGGATTCATGAGGGTGGAAGGGGGAAATGAACTGATACCAAGGGCTCAAGTAGAAGAAAATGTTTAGAAAATGATAATGGCAACATATGTACAAAGGTGCTTGACGCCAGGGATGGCTGTATGGTTTGTGAAAAGAGCTGTAAGAGCCCCAAATGAAAGGATTAAATAATAAAAAAAAAAGATCAGGAATGACACTGGAAACAATCGTCTCTTCTCCCACCCTGCACCACTGCTTGGGTGACACAAAACTATGGTCATGTCCTTAGCCGTGTGGGTTTCTGATAGGACATCATCTCCCTCTCTTCAGTTCTTCTTGTTCGGTGATCTCAGTACTGCTCTGTGGGGAACTACCTCCTTAGTTGCAAAAATAATTAGCCTTTAATCATTTCCAAACACGAGGCTCTTGAGAATATAGCAACATTGAAATGATGAGGCCGTCTGGATTGAAGATAAGAAAAACTTAGAATTCCCTTGAAGCATCTCCTCCGTGAACTTATTTTGTTCTGCACTAAGAGTTGAACTCAAGCTAGGGTAAACTGAATTCTAAAATAACCAGTATTATGATCTATCTTGGTAAGAATTTTGAAAGAAGGGCAGCAAAAAGAGGCAGGCCCTTGAAGAGTTGGATTGTGGCAGTGGCTGCCACAACGAGCTCGATCGCAATACCTGTGCGGATGGCCCAGCACGGGTGGCCCAGCACGGATGGCCCAGCACGGGTGGCCCAGCACGGATGGCCCAGCACGGGGCAGCTTCAATCTGCTCGGCACAGGGCCACAGGGAGGCAGCACTGCCCCACCGGCCCCTACCAACAACAACAGGGATTTTTTTCCCCACTAAATTAAAATCTGAATTCTACCTCCCTGCGCTCCACCCCACTCCTGACACTCTTAAGTTCCCTGTGCAATGCTCTGCTGGTAAAGCAGTCAATAAGAAGGCAATATCCAGAAAAGAACTCTTAATTGTTCAAATTCCATATTACCGCTGATTGTCAGGGACAGGCAACTCTGTATTAGGGAAAAAGCATTTGA